GTGTGTGTGTGTGTGTGTGTGTGTGTGTGTGTGTGTGTGTGTGTGTGTGTGTGTCGCGTGTGTGCATGCGCGGGTGTGGTCCGCACATGTCCGCGCATGCGCACGCGGGTGCTGTGGTACCACGGAGCACGGCCGAGCGGAGCGAGCGCTCGCCGGGCTTCGAGGAAAGGAGGCTGGGCTCTGTGGCCATGGTGTGCGCTCCCCGTGTCCCCCACGGCCGAGAGCCGTTACTGGTGGACCCCGTGGCGGCCAGGTGCTTGGTCTGCCTTGGCCTTTGGTGGCATTTCCGGCTGGGTGAGTGACAGGCGTCCACACCGCCCGCAGGCCTCCTTTCCCCGGCCTCCTTTCCCCGGCCTCCTTTCCCCGGCCACCTTTCCCCAGGCCTCCTTTCCCCGGCCTCCTTTCCCCGGCCTCCTTTCCCCAGGCCTCCTTTCCCCGGCCTCCTTTCCCCTGGCCTCTGCTTCTCGAGGCCTCCTTTCCCCAGGCCTCCTTTCCCCGGCCTCCTTTCCCCCCAGCCTCTGCTTCTCGAGGTCTCTTTTCCCCCCGGCCTTCTCACCACCTAGACAATACACGTTTGATTGTACGAGGGCATTTCATATTAAACAAAATGATCAAGGACCATGATGGTGCAGCCAGACCTTTAAAGACAGGACAGCCTCTGCAGGGGCTGGTGGCCCACGCCTGTAATCCCGGGCACCCAGGGGGCTGAGAGCTGGGCATTGTGCCAGCCCGCGCAGACAAGTCCGTGAGACTCTGATCTCCAAGGACCCAGCGCAAAGCTGGAAGTGGAGCTGTGACTCAAGTGCTGAGGTGCTAGCCTGGAGCAAAGGAGATCAGGAACAGTGCTCAGGCCCAGAGTTCAAGCCCCATGACCGGCAGAAACAAAAAACACCTGGAAGTGGAAGTGTGGCCCAAGTAGTAGACCACCAGAGAAAGTTAAGGGTCACGTCCATGCCCTGAGTTCAAGGCCCAGGCCCAGCACATTCTCATATTCCCCCCCTTACACACACACACACACACACACACACACACACACACACACACGAGAGAGAACAGCCTGCTTTATCTATTCAGAAAATAACAGCTTAAATCGAGTGAACACAAGTGTCTTTTGCAGCCACCTGCATTTTCTGCTTTTTCTTTCAGAGCTGAGAAAGAATGCAAAAATCCACTAGGAAGGACATTTCTACTCAATGAGTTCTTAAAACTGAAAAAAAAGAAAAAGAAAAAAAGAGCAAGGCCCAGCAAATCTTCCTTCAGGGAAATAAACCAGAGTATAAATCTATTGTACTCTGGGAAAGGAGAAAATATTTACCCGTTTCCATAGCTCTGGAAATGCATTTCATTTGACCAAATGTGTGCCGGAGATGTGGCCTCTGCCCGCAGCCTTGGGGGGGTGGCGGTGCTGGATCTGGAGTCGTTTGCGGGGTGTCTGTCTCTCTGGGGGAGCTGCTGGGGTTCTCTGCAGGCAGCTCTGCTTCAGGATCGTGGGCCCCACCCTCCTTCCCTCCCCTCCCCCCAGGCAGACATCTTCTATGGGATCCCCCTGGCTGGTGTTATTTCTCTCCCCCCTCCCTTCACTGAGTCTGGTACTCCAGCTAGTTCTTGTACCTGTTTAACACCTGCAACCTGGACAGAAAACACGGCTGCAAGTCCTGTGTGGGAGCGCCCTCTGCTGCCTGTTGACTGCATAGCCTGTTGCGGCTTGGGGAGCTAGCTGCCCCTGGTGTGTGTGTGTGTGTGTGTGTGTGTGTTGCTCTTAGAAGCCTTGTCATTCAGCCTTTTTGAGGGTGCTGGTTCTGTACCCCGCCTTGGGCAGGCTTTGCTGCAGCTCCCTGGAATGATGGAAATGTCCGACCGGAGGACTTTGAACTATTGATTCTTTCGATACCGGAGAAAGCCACATTTCAAAAAGAGGCTGGGTGCAGTGGTGCATGCCTGTGATCTCAACCAGGACAGGAAAGCCTCGAAGTAGGCAGGTGGCAGCTCAGACGTGTGTCGGGTGGGAATTGAGACCCTGTCCTGAAAACAGACAGCGCAAAGCAGGCTTGGAGGCGTGGCTCAGCAGTGGAACGCCAACCTAGACAGTAGGAGGCTCTTGAGTTCAAATTCTGGTACATACTGCAAATATATATATATATATATATATAATTGTTATATAATGTACATATAAAAGATGGCATTGATTTATTTACCTTTAAAAATTATTATACAATTTCCATGCACGCATATAATATACTTTGGTCCTATTCACCTTCCTCTCTCCCGTTGACCTCCAACCCCACACAGTCCCCTGTTTTACATTCTTTATTTTTTTTGTGGGGGTTATGGGATTTGAACTCAGAGCCTGGGCACCGTCCCTGAGCTCTTTCACTCAAAGCTAGCACTCTACCACTTTGAGCCACAGCTCCACTTCGGGTTTTCTGGTGGTTCATTGGAGATAAGAGCTGCATGGACTTTCCTGTTTGGGCTGGCTTTGAACCACGATCCTAGGAGCTCAGCCTCCTGACTAGCTAGGATTACAGGCCACGGGGGTCCAGCCCCATTTTACCTTCTTGTCATTATTTTTGAGGTCTAGATTCCGAATACGAGAGAACATGGCATATTTGCCTTTCCCAAACTGGCTTACTTCACTCAGCATGGTGATCTCCAGTTCCCATTCATTTTTTTTCTGTAAATGGCTCAGGTTCATGCTTCTTCATGGCTGAGTAATACTCCACTGTGCTGATGGACCGCATTTTCAGCTCTGTGGCTTGTTATCTCTGTGGATGAAACGCAGCTATGTTGTGGTCCATGGGGCCAGAATTCTGGGTTGAAATCATGGATCTGCCACTAAGTCAAATTAATTAACTGCTTGGTGCCTCAGTTTCCCCAAGGCTCCGTTCCTTGAGCATGCCAAGCCCTCACTGCACCTCTTTTCACCCCTCAGTTCCTGGAGACCTGGGTCCCAGACCATCAGCCCTGTCAGATCTGCATGTGTCTCAGTGGGCGGGAAATCAACTGCACATCCCGGCCTTGCCCCACGGCTAGAGGTGAGTTCCCCCAGCCTGGGGCCCTGGAGAAGAAGAGCTTTCACGCGACTCAAGGGGTCTTCCTGGGTTGAACTCAGGGCCTTGTGCGTGCTAGGCAGCTACTTTACCACCCGAGCCAGGCCTCCAGCCCCTAATGCCTTTTTTTGCCAGCTTGAACTGGGCACTGTCCCTGAGCTTTTTCCGCATTAGGCTAGCCCTCTACCACTTTGAGCCACAGCACCCACTTCCAGTTTTCTGAGAGTTCCTTGGAGATCAGAGTCTCACGGACTTTCCTGCTCAGGCTGGCTTTGAACCATGATCCCCAGATCTCAGCCTCCTGAGTAGCTGACAGGCCACCAGCGCCTGGCCCCTTATTGCTTGTGTCAGGTTTGAATAGGATCTTGCTTTGTGCCAAAGTCTGCCTGGGCTGTCTTCCTGTGTAGCTGGGATGACAGGTGTGCGCTGTGGTGTCCAGATTTTGATTGGTGGAGATGAGGTCACACTTACTTTTGGGCTGGTATTGAGTAGCTGGGATCACAGGCCTGACCGCTGCACCTAGGTTGGAGCTGGTTTTGTTTTTGTTTATTGGTTGAGATGGGGTCTCTCAAACTTCTTTATGCCAAGCCTGGTCCCGAGCCACATTTCCCTGGAATGTTGTTTGGATGACAGGCTTGAGCCACAGCACCCGGCCCAGAGGTGATTCTTCCCCTTGCTGAATTCTGTGCCTCGATCCTAACTTCCCTTCCCGTTTCCTGGTCTAGATCCTCGTGGGGTTCCCAGGTAGGCCGTGTGCGGCTTTGCAGCGATGGAGGGCTCTGAACGCCCTCTGCGGGCTGACGTCCTTAATGTCTCTTAATGCTGTGTCCTTCCCCCCAGCTCCCACGTGTGGTGCTTGCGAAGTGGCCCGCCTGCGCCACCACCCCAGCCAGTGCTGCCCGGAGTATGAGTGTGGTACGTGTCCCAGCTCGCGCGCCTCCCCGGGGTCTGCTCGTGTCCCGGCCCCGGGTGCTGAAGGATGGATACGTTCTCAGGCACTGGCCATGGAAGAGGGGCTGGGTGAGGGGTGACTGAATTCAGACCAAACCAAACCAACACAGAGCACATACCCAAACCAGATCAATCAACCAAACCAAAGTAGATCGAATGAAATCAAACAACCAAACCAAATCCCCAAACCCCAACAGAACAGCCAACCAAACAGATCGAACGAAATCAAACAACCAAAATGAAACAGACCAGACCAAACTAACCGAGTCAAACCAACCAATCGAATCAAACCAACCAACCAAAACCCCAAACTTCAACAGAACAGCCAAACCAAACAGATGGAACTAAATCAAACAACCAAAACAAAATAGATCAAACCAAACTAACCGAATCAAACCAACCAACCGAATCAAACCAGACAAACAAACCAAATCCCCAAACCCCAATTAGAGCAGCCAACCAAACAGATCGAACTAAATCAAACAACCAAAATGAAACAGACCAAACCAAACTAACCGAGTCAAACCAATTAACTGTGTCAAACCAACCAACCGAATCCAACCAACCAACCAGATCAAAACCCCAAGCCCCAAGAGAACTGGCAAACCAAACAGCTTGAACTAAATCAACCAACCAACACAAAACAGCCCAAACCAAATCAACTGAATCAAACCAACCAACCAAATGAAACCACTGAACCCAAACAGATCAAACTGAACAACCAAATCAAACAACCAAACCTAACCCAACCCAACCCGACTGAACACCCCCCCCCCCAAGAAAATAGGCTTTTCTTCCTAGGAACATTGTATGGTAGAGGATGAGACACGGCTCACAAGCATGAGGTTTCCTGAAGAATAATTCTTAAGATGTGTTGGCTTTTTCCCTGGCTATAAGACCTGGGAGGCGGGGCGTGAGAAAGCCCCGCCCAGGACACGTTGCTAGGGGGCTGGGGGTGGGACCGTGGTGGGATGAATGGCGGCGGCCCACCAGACGGTGCCACGTCAGAAGTCCGGCTGTGGCACAGCTGTTCAAGTAGATCTGGGGCGGGTCCGGGGATCTGGAAGGATCCACTCACCCGGGAAGTTGATGCTGATGGCAGTTGATAGAAATCAGCACAGTCTTGTGGGAGAGGCAGGGAGGTCCGAGTTGAGCAGAGCTTTGCCAGCTAGGCCTTCGGACACGAGCAGGACAGAGGCCTGGGGTGGTGGGTGGGGCTTTAGCTCCCGCCCTCCTTTTATAGACCCATGGAAACCACTGTCGGCCAGGTGCTTTCCTTACCTTGTTTCCTGCACCCCAGAACTGACCCTACAGGGCAGGGTTCCCACCCCTACGAGGCCCAGAGCAGTCCCATGTAGCTGAGATCAGGAAATCCTAGCAGGTGATGAGAATAATCGACGTGACTTGGATCATTGATTTACCTTCTAGTCCATCTATGTATGTATGTAATGATGTATCTATGAATATCTATGTATGCACCTGTGTATCTGTCTATCCATGAATCTGTCTATCCATCCATCCATGACTCTTGTCTGTCTGTGCATCTGTGTATCTATTTATGCATCTATGTATCTGTGTATCTATCTATGTATCTATTTATGCATCTGTGTATCTGTCTGTCTGTCTACCTATGAATCTGTCTTGTCTGTGTTTCTATCCATCTGTCTGTCTATTATGAATCTGTCTGTCTGCCTATATGTGTATCTATTTGTTTGTCCATCTGTCCATCCATCCATCCATCCATCCATCTCACTATCCATCCATCCATCTATGCATCTGTGAATGTATGTATGTATCTATTTATGCACCTATGTGTCTATCCACTATCTATGGACTGACCTACTTGCTCTCATGTATGAGTCTGCATGCATGCATCTATCTCCCATCCATGTGCATAGATGTGTATTTCCCACCTCTCTTACCATCCAACCCTCCATGTACATGTGTGCATGCGTACACATGAATATGTATCGATGTTTCTATCTTATTATCTCCAATTCCTCCATGTGCTCATGCTTGCATGTATATATGTATCCACACCACACCATGCACATGCTGATACATGCACACATGCATGCATGCATGCGCAAGCCTTCCATGCACATATACATGTCGTGTACATGCACACATGTGCTTGTATGTATGCGTTAATCTTCTATCATGCACACACTCCTGCATGTGTGCATGTACATTTGCATACATGTGCACAATCTGTCTCCCACTGTGCACAGGTATGCACATGTAGGCATGTGTGTATGTATCTACCTATCATACATGCATGCGCACAGCTGTATATTTATCTCTATCACGCATGTCCCCACGCATGTGTACGTGTTCCGTAGCCTGTCACCTTTGTCTCCATCTCTGTCTGTGTTGGTCCTGTCTCTCTACCCGGGACAGCAGAACTCTGGGGGCATGGGTATGCAGGGTCTCGCTCGCAGGTGAGGAGACCCCCCTGAGCCCTCTGTGACCCCTCTTTCCTCAGTGTGTGACCTGGTGACCTGCGACGTGCCCCCCATGCCTGCCTGTGAGGGGGGGCTCCAGCCGGTCCTGACCAACCCTGGGGAGTGCAGGCCCAGCTTCGCCTGTGGTAAGGCCTCTGTCTGTGTGTGTGTGGGGGGGGGGAGGGGGCTGCCGGTGGGAAGATTCCAGATGAATCTACTCACACTGCCCTTTCCGGTGTCACTGAGGACAGAGAACACCCCCTCTCCCCCGCGCTTATCTTCATCATTGAATCTTTTGGTGATCTTGGGATTTGAACTCGGGTCCTTGAGCTTGCTAGGCACGTGAGCAGGTGGTGCGCTGTGAGGTCTGGGGTTGGAGATGTTACGCGAGCCTTGGCGGGAGGGGAGGGGGGTCCAGGCCCCGGGAGCAGTGGCCGGGCTCGGGCGCGTGCTCAGGGCCACTGTGGACTGGACTGTCTTCCTGTTCCTCCTGGCGGGAGGACTTAGCTCTGGGGTGCTGTGCGAGGCCCGAGGGCCGTGGGTTGTGTAAGTTGAGGCTGGTGTGGGCTGAGGCCCAGGCTGTTGCCCCGGGCCCCGGGGTGCCGTCGCCCGCCCTCGGCTCTGCACGGAGCCGCAGGCTGCCTGCCGGCCGCGTGCCGCGGGGGTGGCGCTGAGTCCCCGGGGTGGCAGCTGGCTGAGCCACCCTGCACCCGACCCCTCTCCCCCCAGCCTGCAAGAAGGAGGCCTGCGGGAGCCCCACGCCCCCCTCCTGCCCGCCCCACCGCACCCCCGTGCTGCGGAGCACGCGGTGCTGCGACCAGTACGAGTGCGCC